GCTGGCATATTCTTTAAAGATTTTTGTAGTTTGGAATAGTGCTATTGATATCCGTCCTAATCATGGTAATTTATTTCTTCCAGTTGCTCCATCTAGCTAAATAGTTTTAAAAACTGAAAAAACCCTCCAATCTCTGTTGTCTAGAACCTTTCCCTGGAAAGGTCAGACTTTCAGACTTATTCCCATTGCTATCCTAGGTCCAGTCTTTGTTGGCGAGCATCAGTGAAGTTGCTCCCATTTTCTGTTGTTTTAACATATTTACATTTTGCCTTATTGATATGCACAATGCTTGGTAGTCTGGAAGCTGATTATTATTGGTAGAAGAAGTCCTGTAATTTTGTATTGTGGCTGTCATCATCAGCTTCTTATACAAAATTCAAGCTTAAACTAAAGAAAGTAGGAAAAACCACTGGGTTAGTCAGGTATAAGCTAAACCATCCCTTACTATGTCCAACACGAGGCTTTACAAATAGCAGAGAAGAGAAGGGAGTCAAACTGTAAGGGAGATAGGGAAAATTACAGAAAATTGAATTTTGACTTCCAAAGAATAGCAAGGAGATACAAGAGGGCCTTCTTAAATGAAGAGTGCAAAGATATAGAGGAAAAGAATAGAAAGGGAAAAACCAGAGATCTGTTCAAGAAAACTGGAGATATTAAAGGAACATTTTGTTCAAAGATGGACATGATAAAAGACAAAAATGGTAGTGACCTCACAGAAGCAGAAGACATCAAGAAGAGGTGGCAAAAAATACACAGAGGAATTATACCAGAAAGATCTGGATGGCCCAGACAAGCCAGATATTATGTTGCTGACCTTGAGCCAAACATCCTGGAGAGGAAAGTCAAGTGGGCCTTAGAAAGCACGGCTAACAACAAGGCCAGTGGAGGTGATGGCATTCCAGTTGAACTACTGTATTTAAAATCTTAAAAGATGATACTGTTAAGGTGCTACACCAATATGCCAGCAAGTTTGAAAAATTTAGCAGTGGCAAGAGGATTGGAAAAGATCAGTCTATATCCCAATGCCAAAGAAGGGCAAAAGAATGCTCCAATTGCCATACTATTGCACTTATTTCATACGCTAGCAAGGTTATGCTCAAAATCCTACAAGGTAGGCTTCAGCAGTATGTGGAACAAGAACTCCCAGAAGTACAAGCTGGATTTTGAAGGGGCAGAGGAATTCGAGACCAAATTGCTAACATGTGCTGGATTGTGGAGAAAGCCAGGGAGTTCCAGAAAAACGTCTATTTCTGCTTCATTGGCGACGCAAAAGCCTTTGACTGTGTGGACCACAGCAAACTATGGCAAGCCCTTAAAGAAATGGGAGTGCCTGACCACCTTATCTATCTCCTGAGAAATCTATGTGTGGGACAGGAACCAACAGTTGGAACTGGTTCAAAATTGGGAAAGGAGTAAGACAAGGCCGTATACAGTATTGTCTCCCTGCTTATTTAAATTATATGAAGAATAGATCATGCGAAAGGCAGGACTGGATGAATCCCAAACCGGAATTAAGATTGCCGGAAGAAATATCAACAGCCTCAGATATGCAGATGATACCACTCTGATGAGAGAAAGTGAGGAGGAATTAAAGAACCTCTTAATGAAGGTGAAAGAGGAGAGCGCAAAAAATGGTCTGAAGCTCAACATCAAAAAAACTAAGATCACGGCCATTGGACCCATCACGTCCTGGCAATTGGAAGGGGAAGATATGGATACAGTGACAGATTTTACTTTATTGGGCTCCATGATCACTGCAGATGGAGACAGCAGCCATGAAATTGAAAAATGCCTGCTTCTTAGGAGGAAAGCGATGACAAACCTAGACAGCGTTCCCTTTGCTTTCAGTTTCATTGTGAGATGTTATGCTTCTACCCACAGTGGTTGAAACAAACTGTTTTTCTCAGCACCAAAGTTCGTGGAATGGTTTCCTGTAAGCAGGGTGGGGCCCAGAGGCAAAAGATCACACTGCTTCCTGTTCCATATACAAAAGCTGGACAGATTTCCCATAGATGTCTTGCAACAAACTGGGCCATTGGCCAGCATCGTCCCCCACACCTAAGGGCAGCAGGCTCACTTAGGGGCACAGGGTAGCGCCCGCATCCCATCAAGCTTTGCTCTCTAACTCTTTACCACTGTTTCCTGCCTCACAGCTGCTGCCACCTGAAGCCACTGCTGAACTATTTAATGACAAGGCTAAACCTACCTGAAAATGTCTGTGTTGTTAGAAAGGTGAAGAAGGCACACACATACAGATTTATTTACAGTGTATAAACCAGGGGCTATCTATGTCAGCTTGTCCAGACAGTATATAAACCAGCATGACACATCCACTGCACAACCGTGACACACCCACCGCGAGTGTGACATGCCTACCACACTTGTGTGGGGGTGCCCTCAACCCCCCCTGCACATGCAGCTTGCTTCCCCAAACCGGACCACAGATCCAAAAAGGTTTGGGACTGCTGCTGAAAACCATTAAAACAATATGTGAGTCAGGAGGCAAGACGAACCTGTGCATTCCCTCAAAGCAGGAATCCGGTTGTATGTTCCAGTTGAAGTAAATTGTTTATTTGATAATGCCAAAATAAATGTTAAATTGTTGCAACCATGAGCCATGTCTGTGTTTGGAGATCTAGGATTGAAAGAGAAGGGAAGACCACTAGAGATTCAACCCGAACCCTCACACACTGGGTATATATGGAACTCCAGCAATATGATCATCATCATCGTAGAACTGCACAGCTGGAAAGGATCATCATGTCCAGCCCCTGTCAAGGAGGCACAGCAGGGAATTGAACCGACACCTAAACCGCTGAGCTATCCAGCAGTTTCATTCGCCATCTGGAAAAGATTCTGGTGTTGGGAAAGAGTGAAGGTAAGAGCGAAAGGGGATGACAGAGGATGAGATGGTGTCATCGAAGCTACCAACATGAATTTGGCCCAGCTCCGGGAGGCAGTGGAAGACAGGAGGGCCTGGCGTGCTCTGGTCCATGGGGTCACGAAGAGTCGGACACGAATGAACGACTAAACAACAATAAGTAATGGCTATAACTAATAGCCCTGGAACAAACAACAGAGACTTCCGAAAGTGACCAGGGTAAGTATGACTGAGAGATAGGTAAAATCTAGACATAGGGGATGAATTTTAAAAAATTGTAATATTTGTTTAAAATTGCTGATTTGTTAAATATTAATTCCTTCACATTTGTCAGTTCCAGGGATCCTGATGAATCTGAAGTGACAAATATTTATCCATTTTTATTCGTCCCCCATACAGAGAGAGAGAAATCTGCCTGTGGACTTCCCACTCTGCCTGATCAGCTGATAGGTGGGTCCACAGGCAACCAGCCAGCCCCACAGCCACCCACCTCCACGGCCTGCCCCCAACCCCTTCACCCTCCTTCCCTTAGCTGCTGCCACCATCAGCAACCGCTGCTGCCATCCATTGCCGCCTGCCGCCATCTATCGCTGCCCACTGCGGTAGCCACGGCCTGCTGTAAAACACTGGTCGTCAACCCCCAGTCCGCGGCCCATTGCTGGTCCGTGGCTTGAGCCCGACCGGGCTGCAAAGACAGACCTCTCCCCCCCCCATCGCACTCCCCTCCCCAGAGCTGCTTTGCACATGCGTGCCAGCACTGGCGTGAGTGCTCCCTCACCCCTTCACTCATGCACCCACGCGTGCAAAGGAGCAGTGGGGAGGGGAGTGCATGGGGGGGAGGTCTGTCTTCGCGGCCCGGTGGTGGTGGCAGCGACGGGGATGGCAAAGAGCTGGGAGGCTGAGCATGGCTGGGTGCTCCGGCTGCTCACCTCCCGGTGGGCTCCAACGAGGCAGGCCGATGCTGCTGCTGGTGCCTCCAGCAACGAAACCGGCACCAGCGGCTGCTCACCAGGGCGGCTGCGTCGGTCCTCAGCGCTCTCCGCCATTGGAATTTCCCACGGAGAGCAGCGAGGAGCGCCGCCCCCGGTCTCGTTGGAGTCCGTCGGGAGGCTAGCAGTTGAGAGAGCACCCCGGCCATGCTCAGACTCCCAGGCTTCTGCTGGCGGCAGCACACGCTCCTGTGCATACGCAAAGCGGTGGGGGAATGGAGTTTGCCGGCCCATGAGTCCTGAAAAAGGCCCAGAAAGCAGCGGCGGCAGTGCGCGCGGGTGGAGCACTGGAGTTAAGAGGGAGAAAGGGGGGAAAGCATTGAGGGAGGGAGAGGCTTGGGGGAGGCTGTGGGGAGGGCAGGTGAGGTCGGGACCTCTGCCGTAAAAGACATTAGCTGCCCTTGGCAAAGATGGCAGGTGCGGCTTCTGTTAGGGCAGGGAAGCTGCAGCCGTCATCTTTACAGATTCCCTTAAGAAAGGCTATGGGGGGTAGAGACCACCACAGTGAGTTGTGGTGGATAGCTTTTTTTCACCACATAGCCTTGTCCCTGTGTTCTTCAATAATTGTTATTAATGACCTGGATCAGGGGGGCAGGGAATGCTAATCAAATTTGCGGATGACACAAAATTGGGTGGAATAGCTAATACTCTGGAAGACAGAAACAAAATTCAAAACGATCTGGATAGGCTGGAGCACTGGGCCAAAAACAACAGAATGAAATTTAACAGGGATAAGAGAACGTACTGCACCAAGGAATTTATTCTATTTTTTAATTTATGTAAATTATTATTTGTAATGAGGTTTGTTATATGTTTATTTTTTAAGTGCATGTTGTAAGCCGCCTAGAGTGGTCACAATTGACTAGATAGGCGGGGTATAAATGAAATAAATAAATAAATAAATAAAT